TACTTGAGTAAAGAAGTTTAATCAGTACTTCCACTTTTACCAGAGTATTTTTTAACACAAGTATCTGTACTTTTACTCAAGTACGGAGAGTGAGTACTTTTGCCATCTCTGCTCTCATCATTGGAAAATGATGAGAGCAGCAAAAATGCTTTCCTGTTTTTCCTTTGAGAAGCACAGAAGTGAGAGATCATAACCCCGACACCTCGTGTAAAGCGTATACTGACACCAGGCTAGTTCCCTATCTTAAAAGTTCATGCTATGTCTAAGAGATTGCGTATGTGTTGACTGCTCAATAAAAAAGCCTGCAAGTGTTGAGCCAAGCGGAGATGCGGAGATTGATACTCCGTCTCTCCTTTGCAAAGCATTTCAGGAAAATCTTTTACTGTCTTTGTTTCATTTTTTATTGGTTAAAGTTGGGGAAACTTAACAACCCTAACAGGGTTAACCCTTTCTTTAAGGTTTTTAATGGATCTATGCTGCTGCTCATGCAGATGCAGCCACCTGTTGAGCAATTTGAAGCTCTTGATCATTGAAACAGTTTTGCCATTTTCTTAGTAGCTGATTCTTTCATTAAGGCAGAAGAAGATCTGTGGTCATCTGCTTCCTCTGATGTCCATCCATGTACATCATGGCTGATTAATTCTTTTATAAACTGTCCCGGTTCAACATCAGGTCTAGTAAATGTTTTCATTTACTAAACCACTAAAGGGGAAGCTGCAGTGGACCCCCTGCAGAACCATGAGTGTACATGGTTGGTTCTGGTCCATTCAGAACCGCCACCTTGTCCAGGGAACCAAAGAGGAAGAGGAGCCTCCCACTGGTTCAGCTGCTGTGGACGAGTGTGAGATCTCTGTTGGCGGGTGCCGCTCTGTGCACCTGTTCTCCATCTGCTCACCGGTTGGTTGGCATTCTCCAGGAACTGCAGAGCAATCACTGTGGCAGAACCCCTATGTTGCTTTCTTTTCTTGTATAAGTCCATTAAATGGGTCATAGAATGCAGAGTTTCCATTGTCATGGATGAATAACGATAGTTCAGCGGGTGAAATAGACGTAGAGCTAACCTGGTCAAAGATGAAGCCGAACTCGTCGGGCCGCAGCGCCTCCTCTGGTGGGTTGGGTTTGTTGTAGATCAGACCAGGCGCCAAGCATGTCATGGTGCTGTCATTTACCACCGTACAGTACTACAGAGCAGAGAGAGTGGGGTGATGAAGAGGAGGCACCACAGCGACGATGAAGAGAACTAGTGAGGGAGGAAACTGTTCTTACGTTGTTGGTCTCCACTCCTCCATATTTGGCTCGAACTTTGGGCTCTTGGATGGTTTGAAGGTGGGTTCCTGTGACGGTTATCACTGTGCTGCCACTGGAGAAACACACACAGGGTTCAGTTTCTAGGTTTGGATCTACAATTTTAAATCCTCCTTCTCACATATAAAGCCTTAAATGGCCGAGCTCCATCTGATATCAGAGATCTGATTGTTCCTTATGTTCCTAATCTGCAGGTTT